GCAGCACTATTGACATTATTGATGGAAATTCTTTTGTGTTTTACGAAAAAAAAGAATGAAGAAAGTAAAACTTACCCCGAAGCATGTCGAAGTTCTAATGCTCTGAAATACATGATAGATAGATAGGACATTTTCTTGAAAAGTATTATGAATTGGTACATACAACATTTTGTAACTCATTACAATTTGGTCTATACTTTTTTTTATAGATTAATATCAAGGTGCTTTATTTGTTACTATAATATATTTTTATAAATATTATGCAAGCCTGTATATACTATTATATTCCGACTGAGAGTTTGATCCCTTCCTGTATCTTAAGTTAAAAACTTTCAGGTTAAGTAAGTTTTTTTATAAATTAAAATTTAATATCATATTATATAAGAGTTTTATTTTCCTTTTTCAAGGTTATCATTAGCACTTTAGACATTTCTTTTCTAATTTATATGAATGTTATTATTTACCCAATGAAAATTTAGTTATTATTTGGTTATTATTTTTAACATGATAATTATAAGCCGCTTTTGAAATGCAAAATGCTTTCTTTTTGTGAAATTTAGAATACCTTCTGTTAAGAAGAAGCGACGCGCGCTGTTTACCCTTTCCTAGCAGCAAATGAAAGCCCAACGTGGACTTCGTAGACGTTATGTGGACAGGTGCAGTGCCCAGGTAAATTCAGGTGTGTGCGTGTGTTTGCCTCCGTTTTCATTTGCCGTCCGTCTGTTTTTCGAATGCGGCCCATTCCAATAGCATTACCAACACCAATACCCATAACCAGGCCCAAACCCAGACCCAAGGCACATCCATATCCCCCGACTTCTGGGCCCAAAACGAACAGTTATGCAAATCGAGAGGAGGCGCACCTCCTCCCCCTCCTTCCTTTTTTTATTCTCCCACTCGAGAGCTTTACTTTTTTTGTTTTTCTGTGTATTTAGCGCCTAATACCCAAGTTTATGTCGCTTAATTATAGACCTTAAGCAGCCGCCGCGAACCGTTGGTTGGTTTAACATGCTAATCGGTAAACTCGGGGGTCTAGCCCCTTTTCCCATCCTGGCGGCGGTATCGAATGACCTTCTTCTCATCTGAGACGCCACTTGATGATCGAGTAGGGATAGCATGGAAATTCTAGTAGCTTGGGAGCGGAAATCCGCGATGCGAAAGCTTTTGTTAGCCGAATTGGGGTAATCGATAGTACGCATCGATCCCACATAAATCGCGGGCCTTATAAAGCCAACTATTAAGCGGATTTGGCCAATTCGGTAGCGAGCAGAATGAAACCGAATCGAACGCAGATCTGCTTTTAATATGACTTAAATGTGTAGCTATCAGCGGCCACGATTAATATGCCATAAATGTTGGGCTTTAATTGGCCGGTGAGTGGGAGGCCTAAGGCGTTAACTAAGGAAAGTGTTTGCCAAAAGAACAGAACTTACACTGATAAAAATCATATTAAAGTGCTAATAAATAAGAAGTATAATGATTTCTTAAAATAGTATCTTTTTTTTTTGATTTTAAGCCATGTTAATAAAAATATACATCAGAATTCAAGATATTTTACTTGCAAATCTTGCAACTCTCTGTATGTTACCAAATTTTCTTAGGTTGAGGTCGAATACTTACTGATATGAAATAAAAACACTTGTTAAAGAATTCATTTTCAAGTGATTCCTATTTTTATTGAAACACACTTTCAAGTGTATTCATTCAAGACAGTCTTTTCCTTGGAAACCATAGCTAAGAAATTAGTTTGTACAACATTTCCAAATCTATTTCAAGATCATTATACCTAAAGAAACTTTTCCTTGTGCCTGACCACATGAATATGATGTAAAGTTTTTCAGCTGGCATTGGGAGATAAGAGTAAAAACACATTTCCCGATGTACTTTGCCCTTTACACGAAATATGAATGCCAGGGACTGCATTCAGAAGTGACCACCCAACAGGTGGGCGGTGTTCCAGTGGGTGGTGTTTCAAGGGGCCGCGGGCAGCAGTTGTCCTTCACATGCCCTTTTACCCATGACATTAAGTGAGTGAAATTGAGCGACTGACTTGATTAAACCACTTGGCCAACGTATTTGCTGTCCCATCTGATTACTGAGTGCACTCATAATTAATGCAACTTAGCGGGTACTTTAATTGCATTTCAATTTAAGAGCGTGATGCTGAAATTCTATTGAGTGGCGAATACCCTATGGATTTGTCTTTGAGAATGGTTAATTCTTAATAATAGTATTTTATTTAAGAAAATATGTGATCAAAAATTACCAAATCACTTAAAATGAAGCTTTGAAAAAGGCGGAAAAAAAACGGTATACCTAACTACAAATTATTTTCACAGTTAATTTAAAAAAAACTCTTAAGGAATTTGTAAAATTTTAAAGTGTTTTACATTGTTTTTTAAAACGAAAATAAAGATTTTATTGAGAACCCATATTTTATATTATAAATATTTGACTTAATGGACTGTCAAGCTCTCTCCCTCTCTTTCTAAGGTATTTAACACCCACAACATCGAGAGCTAAATGGAGAGCGGTGTCGTGGCAGGCAGCTTTTTGTTGGCTACACTGCCCCCACTTGTTGCTCTCTGAGAGTCACTTTTTGAGTGAAAGAGAAATATTTCAGAGAACTGCACAGTGGGGTGGGTCGGTAACTTAAAGAAAACATTTATTTATATTGCCTTTGCCCCTTCTATTCTTTCATTACCTTATTGTCCCTACCTTAGAGACAACATTTATCTTAAATATTGACCAAAAAATATTAAATATATATAATATGTAGTTTTGTAATATTGATTCACAAAAAATGTACCATTAAGAAAATTTATATTTATATATATGCCAAATAAAAGATTTTGGGGTTAAGCCATTCTTAAAATATTTATTATATTTAGTCATCTTAAAATCTTATGCATAAATACCATCCCTAGTAGTTGACTCCCACTGAATCGGACCCGATCCACTGTGCGTTTGGAGAGAGAGCCAGAGGCGAGACCCCAACTATTTAAGCCACAACGCAACGAAACTCTTGCTCAATCTTTGTTTTCGCAGCGCGGCGGTCGCATCGAAGTCGGAAATTAGAAGTAAAGGTGCACGGAGAATTCGATAAATTCAACTGAATAGTTTTGAATAATTTTCAGTGTTTTTTGAATTTGTGATTTTTGGATTTGCATACCGGTTTTTGAAAAACACAGTCGCCATAAAGTGTTATGTTTAAACTTAAACAAGTGCTTCGAAGTGCAAACCCAACGAAAGATACAAGAAAATGTTATAAGCGAATCAGATATATGAGATGAACAAAAAAGTATGAAGTGAATTTTACCAGAAATACTATTTTTCTTATCAGTGTGGAGATTTTGTTTTTAGAAAGCATAAACTAAGTTCAGTGAAAAAGTAAAGTCTTCAAGGGAAAGGCCAAATTGAAAGCCAAGCATTTATTTCTTGATGAAGTTGCTGTTTTTTTTCCATCGAAATATTTGTACTGATTATTCCGATAACTGCGCTTACAACAAAAACATAAACAGAAATACGAATCAAGTGTGTGTGTGCAATTGCAATGAAAAATGTGCTAAGCAAATAAGGCAAATAACAACCATTTAACTGTAACCGAAACTCCACACTGAGAGAACAACCAGTCGAGAAAAATATTGTCATTTGAGAATGCTTCTTGGAATTCAAAATAGTAAATCTTTAAGATATGAAAAATTTTAAAATGATATATCCGATTAAAACTTTAAGTACAATATTCATTAAATTTAATAATTTCTGTACAGTAACATTTTTATGATAAAAGGGCGAGTTCATAATACTTTTTAGTATATTTTATACTTGCAGAATATAAGCATTTTTCTTAATTACTTTTTCTTCTGTGCACTCGTAGTGGAAAACGGATAAAGACAGGTTGATTGACTTGTTCAAAGGGGAATTCGAGACACTTAAGATATTACCAAGTTCAGTGGGCAAACGCCCTAATGTCAAGGTCTTTCGCTTGGGGATCGTATTTTAGCCTAATGGACTTGACCCTAATTTTGGGCTCTACGAAATTCGCAGCTTATGTTACCAAAAAAACATATATTTTCAATTAGAGTTGGGGCCTTTTGTCTCAAGTTGCAACATGTGCCGAAAAAGTAAATTAAAAATATTAATCAATATTTTTTAATGAGTTTTTCTAATTCTTGATTTCTCTCTCAAAGTGTTTAGTAACCCATGAAACTAACTAACGACAATATACCTAAACAAACAAAGTTAGAAAAACGTTAAAAAAACAACCGAGTGTAATAAAAGTTTAGCAACCGCGAAAACGACTTACGAATTTTCACAACAACTTGATGTTTTGTAACGGATTTTCAACAAACTGGTAAAAACTTTATTGTGGATTCTTCTGCTGCTTCTTCTTTGCAACTGCGACAAAAATTTTTTGTGGCTCTGCGGATTTTTTGAGAACGCAAACCATTCACATTCACGGTAAGTTGTGCTAATTATTGCTAAATTATTTGGTTAGCTATTGCAAATATAATATCTTAAGCATGATTCATGGGAGCAATCTAAATCGAAGTGTGCCCTTTAATGAATCAGCTTCTTGGGATGTCCTACATTAAGTTTAGATAAAAGAACTTTCGATATAAATAGAAAATGCATTCAAAGGAATAGCAATCCAAACATTTTATTTTTAAAGCTTTAGGAACACGAAATACGGTTACCTACTTCCCAATCAATTAATTCAAATCCGATAATAAAGTAATTAATTAATTTGAATTCGATTATTTAATCCCCTTCTTAAGTTCATGTGGCCTTCGTTTTCATGTAAGCTGATAAAAATTTGAGTGGCATTTTAGTATCTGTAAAATATAAAATATGGTAATCTAAGCTACCCAACTGGTTTCATAAGTGCTAAAATTCAGAAATATGAATATGGTATAGAAGACCGGCTCTGTCAGCTGTCCATCAATAGATCACATCGAAATTAAACCATTTCGAGTTGAATAAACCCAACCGCAAAGACGTCGAAAGCGAGTGGCACCGGCAGCACCTGAACTTTATAATCCGACCACTTTGATCTAGTACCTCTGAAATCGCACAAGGTTGTGTATATCTATAGGTCTAGCGGGTCCGACACATTCCGATTTTGGTTTCGCTTTCGAAGTCGGCCTAAACTTGGCACCTGTTGCGGTCAGAGCAACACTCGCCTACACTGTCGCACAAAGTTCCGATCGAAGTGAGTTGAATAGAATCGAAAATGGTCTGTGGCCGAAAGTGCTGTTTGTTCTGCCTGTTTATGAGCTCGTGGGGCTTCCTGATGCTGAATCTTCTGGGAATTTTTTTCTATGTCAAATCTCTGAATCTGCTGGAGGCCCTGCCCCTGCCTCATAGCTTCAGAAGTCTGGAGGAGTTTAAGGAGCAGGCGGACGAGGCCTACCAAAAAGTATCCATCCGATGCTTTGTCGCAGCCGTCGTCTATCTGGGATTCGTATTCATGTCGATAGTGTTCATCCGCCGTGACATCAAGAGGAGGAAGCGGCTCTACAAAGGGGGTGCACCCCGACACCGACGTTGATCTGTGTTCTCTGTGCGTTTTCTATTGGTTACTGAATAAACTATATATTTTCATGGTTCCAATTGCATTGCACCCACTCGCCGCAAGTCCACCCACTTGTTAGGCCAGATCAGAACCAGTTTGTTGACCGCATTCTGCGATTAGCCTTAGCTTCTTTATCGGCGAACCACTTTTCGAGTCTGCCCCGACTGTCCACTCTTTATTATGCATTCGTCTCGACCAACCGATTTTTGACAGCGCACGTGACACCTTCTCCGAGGTGTGTTCTCTTTCGGGCATCATAAATTTCCGTGAAATTCTCTTTCCGAAACATGCTAATGGGGTGTGGGTTCTGAGTCTTCGGTCTTGGTTATTCTGGGGGCCCCCGTCTCTGGGGTTATGAATGTTATTCTTATCGCCGGAGCTTTTGTGTCTTACACGAAAACCGTTGTGTAAATTATCGTGCACGATTTTCTAGTTGTACATTTGTGTATCTTGCTTGTTATCACCACCAAGTGCAGTCTGCTAAAATGCAGTTCACTCCATTTTGGGGGAATTTGGGTAAACTGATTGGGAGATCTTGCAGTACTGGGAAAATGTTCTTATTTACCTGTAAATACAGAACCTAAAAGCCTTAAGCAGAACTTGTTCTGGCTGGTAAAAATAGATTTTGTATTCCTAGATAAAGTAGTCTGTCATCTATCCATTAGATAACTCCCAATAAATTGTATTGACTTTTAATATATTGTTGGTAATTTGTTATTATTATATATTATTTTTCCTTGTATCACCTTGTATTAAATGATATCCGGTTTCTTCTAAAAATTAAATTATAAAGATGAACTTCATAGCCTAACAAGTGAAAAAGTATTTAGTTTTGTTTTTCACTTCAGCACTTACTGCCTTCAAAATATACTCTCGCTGTAAGTAATTTATAAAGCATAATTATAATCATATGTTCCGAAAACTCATTAGGACAGCAAAGACAAATCAATGACGACTCTGGCAGAACTCAGCAACATTTGATTTTGACATCGATTTGAGATTTTTAAGTTCTTCACTCGATAAATTTTATATTTTAGTAGACAAACACTTGGCTAAGGAAGTACTGTTTCCCAAGATCACGAAGGTTTAGAAGAAATCGCGGGATCTAGAACCATGTCGCGATTCTTAGTAACGGCCAAAGAGCGGCTCCAAAGGGGATGTGAGTTAAAGATACAGTGGTTTTATTTTCATAAATTAGATTTAAGAAGTTATGGATAATAAAACCTGCCTGAACCCCCAGTGCGCTTTGGCCAGATGTTGATCCACAACACTGGTTCTCAGCAAATGGCAGCCAAGAAGCCTCCAGCGCCACCCAAAGTGGTCAAAGCTACTCCACCGCCACCCAAGTCCTCGAAGCCGCCCAAGTGTCCTGGAGACAACAAGGATATGAAACGGAAGCCGGGCTTCTTCGCCAGTGGCGGTCAGCACGCGGTGCTCAATGATTGCCCCAAGCCGGAGGGCGACTTCATGAAGGCATGGTCGGCCAAGAACGGCCGCTATAATCTCATCCTTATATCAGGTGCTCTGGCAGCAGGGGGATCCGTGGGTTATGCCCTTTCTTCAGGTATGAATACAAATATAGTATCGAATTATATTTGATTTGTATCGGTACTAAGAGTTTATATTAGAAGAAAACCATTATATTTAAGTTTCTCGAGACATCTGATAAGATAATATCACTTCTGGTGATATTATTTCAACATATCAGGAATAATTAGATGTATCAACAATGCTCTTCGATGGCTGCGATATATTCGATAAGAATAAGAATGTAAAGGTCTTCGATAGTTCCGATAAATTCGATATAATATAGACCATTGCCGATCGTTGTATCCTGCACAATATACCATACTCCCCCAGGTATCCTTTGTCTAAATTGGAACATTCCCGAGTATCCCTACACCGAGGACGAGATGGAGGAGTTCGAGATCGAGGAGGAGCGTCGGCGGGAGGAGAAGGAGGCGCGTGAGGAACGCCACCAGGATGCGGTGGAGGCCAGGGAGCTGGGCATCCGACGCCGCAGGGCCAAGGAGGCCATGGAGCGGGAGGTGGACCTGATGCAGCGAGACATGGACGGTGGCATCACCGACGCCGAGTTGGATGAGCTGCAGCGCCTGGCCGCCGAGCGCGAGGCCTTCGAGCTGTGGGAGAAGGACGAGCTGAAGCGCCTGGAGGAGCAGCAGAAGGAGCGGGAGAAGATCCGGAAGGAGAAGGCCAAGGTCAAGGCCGAGAGGGACAAGGAGCGCGACAAGAAGCGGAAGGAGAAGGAGGCGCAGCTCGAGAAGGAGGAGGCGGAGCGCGAGAAGGCCCGCGAAAAGGCGCGCAAGGAACGCGAGAAGGCCGAGAAGGAGAAGCAAAAGGAGAAGGAGAAGGCCGAGAAGGAGGCCGAAAAGGCCAGGAAGGCGGCTGGATACTAAAACCTCCTGCCCAAGTTCAATTTACTTTGCTGGCAGCAACAAAACCACAACAGCTATCAAAATGTTCCAGTCCGGCAAATACAAAAAACACCCAAGGATTACAGACCCAAAACACTGAAAATACTGTTCAATAAATTAACAAAATTGGTTGCTGTTGGCCTGCGATAAGCATTGTGTGTTGTATCTATAAGATGGATTTCTTAGATTTCTAGACAGAATAAGTAAATAGGTTTAAAAGTAAAACCTAAAACCCAAAGCAGTTTGCTTATAAGGTTGCACGTAAATTTTATTTTCAGAACTCTAGCACTGGCTTGTGGGACATAATGAACTTAATTTAAGAAACCTATTGGCTATAGTCTACTATATTCCAAAAAGTAAGAAAACAGTTCATATTATATTATTTTAGATTAATTGTCTGAAATAGAAATTTTGGTGTATTTCAAAATTGTAGCTAACGAGTTACATAACAACAATCCCGTATTTTTCAGGGTATACCTCACTCATTACTACGAAATAATAATATAGTCAGCACTAAGCTATTTTTACCCATACCATTGCATTAAAATAAAAATGTGGTCTATTGTAGGTCATACGTTACATCCTCCCTTATAAAATCTTAATCTAATCGAACTGATATCTGTAAACTACATAAAAGTCCAGGACTTAAAAGTTTTTTAACATTTTAAAATGTATAATTAGTTTTCCAATAAAGACTAGTAAAAGCTTTCCCCAATTACATCCGGCTTAAGGCAGACAAGTTTTGTTCAAAGGAGCCAGGACCAGCCCAACCTATATCGAGGGTATAGTGTAGTCTAATTACATATCTCGCTCCAGCCACTTTATTAACTACTTACCTCGCCACATGCGGCCATTTCCACTGCTATAAAGTCAGCGCTCTGTTTCGGCCCAAATGAGGTGCAACAACAAAATGCTGGATGGCCCGAAGACCGATTTCAGAATGTTATGGCCATCCCCCCGTCCATATGGCATGCATTTAGAGTCAGTCAGGCAGTCAGTGAGCTGTAGAGGAAATGGCTCATTGCATGTAATCAAAGGCAGCGATATTGTATCTCGCGGATAGAAATACATAGAGCTCAGCATAGAGAGAGCACCAGTGCGAATTCAATTGTGGCTTCAATTACGCATAGTCCACTGTTCGCATAACAACGAGCACTTGTTGTTCGGCCCAGTAAAGTGGTGTTCTTTCTCTGATTCTGATTCGCCCCTCTAATCTATTTAATGAAAATTCGCTACCGATAGATAGATAGATACATTTCGCCCCCCTAACCTTCGGTGTATCTGCATTTGTATCTGCTGTGCTAAGTGTGCCGGCTTGTGCGCACATAATGAATCACAATCGTCGTCAGTTAAGCCCGGCTTATCATTAATCAAATTAGCTGCAGCAACATCAGCGGCAGCAACTACAACAAAACACTTGCTTGTCTGCCACCGAGTTGCAGTTGCATCTTGCGACTTGCAACTTGCAATGCGGCACAGTGGGCCAGATCACCAGATCGTAATTAAGCATTACCATGAGTGCCGCGATTGTGCCATAAATGAGCAATTGCCGAGAGCTTATCAAATGGAGTAGAACAATCAATTAACTGGAAGGGGCGAGGAGAATTCTGGTTCAATCGGGTTCAGTGACCTGCAGAGGTGATCCTAAGACAGCGTGTATCCTATACGATTTTTTAAGGGGCTCTCAAATGCGTCATGGGAATAATAGTATTCCCTAACGTGTTATAAAACTCTAGGATGAGGATGTTGGATCATGATGCTCTCATTAATGTTGGTTTAATGGTTATTTCTACAGGTTGTATCTAAACCTATAAAACACGTGCTGGGAGCATTATTATTCATTAGTGATATCTTGGAAGCTATAAGACATTAAATGCTTGCAAGTAAATTACGGTTATTTAATTAACTTATATTGAAAGCAAAACATGTTCATTTTTAGTTAGACTAGGTTATTTAACTAACGAATATTAAAAGGATTCCATATGTGTCTTTTTGTTATTTTAGGAGATAGTGTAGTTTACTCATGATACTAAGTAGCTATAAGTGGGCTATCTTATTGTGAAGATCTAAGATAATAACTAAAATATTGTATAATGTTTTTATTAATTTGATGTTATACTTTATTTATAAAATCTTATTTCCTGCTGCTAACTGACCACTGTACAGTGCCCACACATGGCCGGCCCGCTGAAGCTAGCTAATTTATCACTGGCATTCACGCTTCGGTATTCCCTATTCCACCTATATCCATGTCCATATCGGACCTCGGACCCCTCCCCATCGTCCATTTCTGACTGCGAGTGACATTATTACTGTCACACTGTGTCGCCCGATGCAGCTCCTCTGCCTTTTATAATGCATTTATGCTGCAATTTGTTTGAATTAGCGGCCCGCGGAGCTCCGGCTTCCAGTGGATCGGAGTGGATGGAACTTATGGGGCGACTTGGAGACGGGGCAGAGTGCTGCGGGGGCGGAGTGGCGTGGTGTCACCGGTTTAGTGGTTTATTTGGGGCGTGTACCCATGTATCTATCCCGATCCCGTTCCCGTACCGTTCCCCAACCAGCCTGGTACAAGTATCTTATGCAAGCAGAGC